GGCTATTGTTCGGGACGAACAATACTAAGGAGGGGGCAGTGTTGCGTCAGCGAGATCACGTGACTATTGTCACGCCACCTGCTTTCTAGAACTATCCCGTTCCTTCGTGAGTGCTCTAGCATTTACTAGATTGGGGGTGGTCTGGTATATATAAGATGGTCATGGCGTGACGTGACAATGTCTGTAGGTAGTGAGTAATTGATCTGCAGTGAGAAAGTATTGATGAAGTTAACGTTCGTTATAGCGTTTGTTTTATCGCGAATGTTGAAATCAAGTGTATCGTGAAGTTATATTCAGAAAGAATAAACCAGTTTTATTAAGCAAGGACTTGTGTCGCTAAAGTTTCGTCGGAACGAAGTTACGGAAAGTTAATTAACAAACGGAGACGTAACAATATGAATAACGTCTCAATCACTGCTGCGTTTATCGTATCCTAGCCAGTCTGATAAACCTTGTTACCGGACGAAAAGCCTCGTCGATACAAGATATAGCAGATATAGTGTGGTTAATATAGGATTATACATTCTTCCTTTCTTTCACTCACAATAATCATTAGCAAACGCTTCAAACCGTTCCAAACTAAATGCACAATATTTTTACCCCTACCTATCAGACTACTTTATTTTGGTAGAAACTAGATTGGATTAAGCTTCATAGACTGCATTTGGTCATGCTTTTAAACTGTATCTTCCCTTTCTGTACTTTTCTTATTTATTTCCATCTTCACATGTACTTTTAAACATCTGTTTGAGCTATATGTCGTTATATGTTGTTGTTGTTTCTACTGCTGCTCTTGTATTGTTGTGACAACTAAATTTTACTAGAATATTTTGTAATATTATTTATTCATCATCTTCGATGTTTTGAAATACTTTTATATATTTTGAAAAGTTGAATTGATGTTTGTAAACACGCTGGAATTTATTCTTAAATATACCATTTTCTTCAAAGTGATTTGATATTATAGTTGAATGTGCAAATTACCTCGATCTTATACTTTAATTTTGAGGACGATAGGGGGCCATGTTTGATATTCTCATCACAGAGTCTTATCAGCCGGGGTTGTATATTTATTTGTGTTATCGGTGATTTTCTAGTTTAATGCTTTTCGAAAAAGAGAGGAGATAAACCGATGTACTGCAACTTTGGTCAAATCATTACTAACAATTATAATTCTAATAGGTTTGTAATACTGTAAAATCTCAGTCTCCGCCATGAAGATGGAAACAGAACTGAAGATCTTAACGTTGAATTGCTGGTAATACTAATAGTAATAATTAGTAATATTATGTAAATACTTAACACAAATGATAAGTTTATATAATATAAATATAATGATATAAGTCTATGGCACATTACATGTTTTAATTAAACATTAATTGTATAATTGGCATTAATGACACCATTTAAACTTATGTTATCGTGAAACGAAAATTTTTGTTTCTACAACTATAACTATACGAGTATAAATACAACTAATCTTGAATAGTTACTAAGTACATTTGATGGAGTTCTAAGGGAAGACTTGATAAATATATGAATGATAAGGGCTGACTTTGAGGTTACTCTTATTTTTCGTATTATTATAATAGTTTAATATAAATATAATAATAATACTTAATAGTAGATGGGGCACCATTGAATGACTGATGGATCAGAACAGGTTCCTTGTTCTTAGGTTAAAATGTTATGGCACTAGGTAAAATTCGGAATGCTAAGTTCCACTGAATGGTGTTAACCTATTAGTGTTATGGACTTTGTGCATCACAAATCAAAACACATTTGTTGAGGTAATTAGATGCCCTATCTCTTGGGATATAACACTTCTTGACACAAACAGTCTGTAATACTGTAATAATTGATATTCATTACTCAATCTTTCAAACTGCATTACCTATTATGGCCTCTTTGTGTTACAAATAAAAACACATTTGTGAAGATCACTAAATGTCATTGATTTAGCATAAAAAGTTTTAAAACAAAAGAGTATACTTTAAATTACTAAGGAGTTAATAATGATATCATAGAAGTTCAGCCCAGCAAAGTATTATATTTTTTGTAGCTTCATTCTAAATGCTATGTTTTAGAAGTTCAATGTACCACTTTTTAACTATTTATGGAAAGCTTTTGGTTTGGTTCTGAACACCATTCTGCCAGTCAGCGGAAATAAGAGTTCGGCACTTTACCTAATGCCAAATGTTATGCTATTGTTAAGGCTCGTAAGAGGGTCTTAAAATTTAGAGTTACTTTACTTTGTCTTTATAGTGTCAATAATATGGTACTTTTTACATGTATCATTGTCAGTACAGCAGCATAACATCTACTAGTAAGCTAACAATTAAAATTAGATAGTTAAGGATCAGTTTGAATTTACTGTAGTGTTTTAAAACTTTAGGTTCTGTACAAAAATATTTGGGTAACTTTGGCTGCCATCTCATGGTTGTAGATTATTACTTGTAACAAATTAAAAAAATAGTGCATTTTTTATTATACAAATATTTACATAACATAAAGGTTGGACAACAATGGATTATTTGGTCTTTAAAGGCTGAAAAGTAAAAATTTAAATCCACTGTTTACTTTTCAGAAAACTTTCTATTCACTTTTAAATTGCTGTAAAGTGTTGGCCTCTAGTACTGGCAACAACAACTCATTCTACAATTCAGTCACCTTGTTAGAAGATAAAACATCTTGATTGGAATGATCATATGACATTGGGCCTTTGGATACATGACTAGGACTCACTTCACCTCAACATGCTCAAATTACTTGTCCGTCAGGCATGTTCCTGTTTCCTACACTTTCTGGTGGATCATTTGGTCATGGTACATTCAAACAATTCCACAGCTGTTTCACACACCAACCACCAAAGGGGCACCTGTTCTCTGACCCTTTGTTTTCAGACTTTGGATCTACTTTTCTTCGTCTATTCTTGTCGTATTTGTATGATTGCCTGTCATGTGACAGGAGCTATGAACCTTGTTGAGGACCACCTCTTCTGTTGGACCTAACTCTCCCAATGGAACAGTCTTTCCACTTGCAGATTTTTTCATTGGGTTTGCTCTCAGTGGAGCATACCCCTCATAAACACTTTTTCCACCCCTTTAAATTCCAAGCTTAGTCTCTTTTGTTCTCTAATCCCCATCCTTCAACTCTGGCTGTCAGTGCTCTCAGTCAGGACAGGTGTTATTCTTTACTTTATGCTTATCCTCCTCTTCTCCTACCTGGAGTCTTCATCTTGATTTGTGACACCCCGTGTTGGGTCCTCCTGGTGGCTCTTCTGTAGCTGGCTCAACCTTGGTGTCATCTGCTTCTATGCTAAGCAACCAGACCCCCTCTTTATCTGCCCATTGTCCCCTCTCTCTTGCTTCAACCTCACACATCACTTTTTTCGAGAGATATCGTTCTTCCACCCTAATGTATGGGATTTCTTCATTCTGTTGAACCAAACTCTTCAATCGTATAGCCTTTCTCTTGTCTCATTAATGTTATTCTTCCACGTTGTCTTTGTATCAATGTAAGTGGCGTGTCTATTGTAATTGGTCCATTGTACTTGTGTCATCCTCTATCCAGATTTGTCTTTCCTTCCTAAGACCTCAACTGCTTGGGAAAATGACTGCACTTTCACTCCTATTTCCCTTCCTTCTATCTTTCATCTCTACAGTTGTTCAGACCAAGACTAGCTACTGTGTCCATTTTGGGCTGTTTGATGTTACTTATCATGTAACTCCAAATCTGGGCCCCTGACATTGTTTCTTCATACCCTGGGACCCCTTTTCTTCCAAAGACTTCTCTCATCCTACCCTTACTGGATGGATCCATCATCTTTTCTGATTGGTGTATGCATCCTTGGATATGGATGTTCACAGGCTATTCTACATTTCTTCACATCAAATTCATCACCTTACCCATTTTCTTCTTGATCATTTCACTGGACATTGGACAAAATACTCCAGGCTGGCATGTGGACTATGCCTAACACCTTCTACTCCCATTATCTTCATCATCTGGTTGTTTCATCTCCTGTGGGTTTTCATCTTCCTCTGATCACTATTCTTCACTCAACTGACAATTTCTAGATAAGTAAGTACATTTTTCATTTTCTTGGATCCCACCAGGTGGTTGGTGTTGATTTGGATGGTATATTTACCCAAAATCCACATTGCACCAGGATAATAGAAAGTGCTCAGACCATCCACCCTGGCTGTATCACTGCCCACTGTGAGATGGGGTGTTATGAAAGACCATTTAATGTATCTTTGTGGTATATATATATATATATATATATTTACTCAGTTTGTTCGATCCAGAGTGTACCATCTTGTGGACTGTCATGGGAAAAGCCAGCACCCATTTTTTTACTTGTGTTTGCTGGCCTTTAAAAATATGGTTTTGCAGTCACCATTATCATGTCTCCAGTAAAAGACCTTTCTGTTGGAGGCCTGATGGTGATCTGGGCACTTTTCAGTGTCTCCCCTCCCCCCTATGTTGAGTGGAGCATGGGATGTCCTAGCCACTGGGGTGGTGGATCATAGAGAATCCTCACCAGTTGGGCTTAGCACAATACAGTGAGAAGTGGGGAAGTGGTGATGCTGTCAGTGTAGTGCAGGTCATCTATCTGAACTATAACTTGTACCACTGGTGCCCTACTCTTGTAACCTGAACCTGTTCAGTAAGGTAGGGGTGTGCACACAATGTACAGACACCATAATATACCTGATGTGCTCTCCTTTTGCAGCTAGTTTATGTACAGGTGAGTTGAGGTGAGCACTTAATATACATAACCATACTACTTAACTAAAATGCCCACCTCCTGCAACTGGAGTGTGTTCAGTAGAGTTGAGGTGAGTATACATACTATGTGATACTTACATACATAATTAGTGTGCCCTGTTCAATTGAGTTGAGGTGAACATACAATGTCCAGAAGTCATTCCAACTGATATGCCCTTCTCTGTAACTATAATGGGCATATAGACAACCCGTGGGCTTAGTTGTTGGGTTAGACTCTACACTTGTTACAAATAAATTTATTTGGATTTTGGGTTGTGCTTTCACAAGTGGAGCACACAAGCCAACAACTCGTGGATGTTTGTGTGTGGAATAAAGAACTTCCACAGAGACAACTAATTACAAATCAAATAACTTCTTTATATATACACTGTTGTTCATTTATATTGAAACTCTCAAGGCTGTTTTGGGATAACACTACTTCTAACTCATTGAGTTCTTTATTTTGAATGTCTAGATGTTATTTAATTAGTCCTTCTATTACATTCAGTAACATAGATACAACATTAGCTAAGTTATTGATTAACAACTTCTCTTGGTCATAATCTTTATAACTGTACTAACAATTCTTCAAAGATATTTTTAAGTAATTCCACTTTAAGCATTTTCAGATCTATTATTTCTTTAGTACAGTTAATATTTTTCTCTCATTATGCATTATACATTATTGAACCTTAAGTGAAACACTTAGACTAGATCATAAATAGCATACTTATAAGGAGTTTGTGTGTTGAAATTCTTGTACATTCAGGATTACTGCCATCTTCTATCTTCTGGAGTCAGAACAATTTCCTGGAGCAACTTCAAAAGTGCAGAGAAGTCAATGAAGTGCCGTTTAGAGTCAGAAACATAGAATTATATATATACAGTTTTTATTGTTTCTGCAATTGTTCAAGAAGTTTAGCAGATCCACTTTCAAAAGTAGTTCTTTTAACTCGATTGGTACAAGTGGGATTTTATAGCAACAAGTGGACTATTCCATCAGACTGTAACCAAAATCCACTTTGTTATTGGTCCTTGCAGAACTTATTTCTGTCCCTTATCTAATATCTTTGGCAAAATCACCCAAGACAATTAATATAAAGCATATAGTGTGTAATGCCAGACTCTTCACTAGGAGTATTTCACCAATGACTTTCATCTTCATTCTGTTAACTGCTTTTTTGTGACATCGGTTCATTTCTTCATGCATTTTATCTAGCTATTGAAGTTTTCTCAATGTACCATGTCTGTGAGCTGTGAATTCTTGCTCTCTGAGGTCACAACTGGAATGTTGCGTTCAGCTTACTCCTACTATGGGCCCCAAGTCTGCATATTCCCTGTCTGGTTTTGAGGTTCACTAGTTACTGCTCATGCTTTCTTATAAAATTTCAATCTGTTGCTTTCTCCATTATATAAGTCATAAAATAAATATGTACTTCTTGTACACACTTTACAATTTTGTATTGTATACCTACAGTGCCTTCCTTCTATAGCTGAAGTCTGTCCCATAGAGTCTGTTCAGTGAAGTTGAAGTGGACACACACGGTAAGGTCTGAACGCATCCCAACCACACTAAAGATCTTGTCTCGCGGATCTATTGTGTGCAAGTGTTCAGAAGTTTGTTCTCATTCTGCTTGTCCCTCTGACACATGGTGCTCATTTCCCTTCCCTCCACTGTCCGGACAAAGAGTATACCCTGGTTGAGATGAGATGCTGTCTCCCACAAGTGTGCCGCTATAGAGCTCTGCCATTGGGTGGTAAACTCCCTGGGCTTTCCTTTGAGTGATGTCTGAACAGAGCGCATCCAGGTAAAACTTGCACTGGTCTCTCCATGGGGCTCTCACTAGGGTCCCACAATGAAGGGTCTCTGACTCTCAACTTTTTTTTTTTTCAAAAATCCCAGTGAGATTTTTAAGGGTTCCATAGGTAGAATTTAATAAATTCAAACAAAAAAAAAGGAAAAAACACTTCAGTATCAAGGAAAAACTTTATTTACAATGTACACTACATGTTTACCTTCTGCAAGTGGAAAAGAGCATGTTAATGTTCAATGAAAAACTATTTATAATTTACAGTGCATGTTGTTTCCCTTTATGAGTGCAAAGTAATTTTCGTGATAAGATTAAAAATACTTTTCTACATCTGAAAATTTTGAAATATCATTTGCATATGCCCTAAAACCTTATATGCCCTTAATAACAAGTGTTTTTTTTTCCAGAAAAACTTTATATTTTACCTGTTATTTTCTATACCCTAACTCTATGAGGTCGGTTGATTTGACCAACCTCGTAACCACCATTTAACCTTCTTTAATCAATAAAAAAAGTTAGAGATCTTAATCTATTCCTGTGATATAATTATTTTATCCCGGGGATTATCATTGTAGCTTTTCTCTGAATGCTTTCCAATAAGTCAATTTTCTTGCGTAGTTAAGGATATCAAAACTGAAAAGATTATTCAAAGTGAGTTCTAAAGAGTGCTTTGTATGAGAGATGGTTCCCTGTTTAGATTTTTAATCCACCTTTAATACTAAAAAAGTGCACTGCTGAAATGGCTTGAGTGACTTATCCACCACTATGCCAAAACACTTTTCTTCTGTCATTCTATTGAGAGGATTCTTATCAAACTTAAATTAATGTAATCTGTATGCATTAACTTGAATGAAATATAGTTAGTTAATTGCCAGGTATTGGTCCAATTACCAACTGATTCAAGTTATTCTGTAGTACTTGAAAATCCTCATAAGAGCTAGAAATAATTGAATTTAATGTCACCAGTAAATTATGCCTCTTTCGAATATCATTAATGTGAATAAGAAAAATGAAAGGCTCAAACTCTGATCCCTGAGCCACTTCACTTGTAACAAGGGTTCACTTTGACTGGACTTCATTAACAACAGTTCACTTTCTCCCATCCAACCATCTTACAATCTAATTAACTAGTCTATCCACATACCCTACCCATGAAAGAGAAAAGCTTCCATATTTGATCTTTGACCTTCTTCAAAACCTGGGAAAACCCTAATTTGACTTTTTTTACCTTATGTATTTCTAATCCCCATCTTTCTACTTGCCACCAAAGGATTAAAATATATGTTCTTCAGATCAATTTCATTATTTTACAAAGAATGCCCAGGATCAGGAACATGGCTTTATCTTCTCTTTTAAGAACAGAAGAAAACAGTTAAAAAATCAATCTCATAGTCTTAAAAAAACTTATTATTAGCATTTTCTAAAGGCTCAGTCCATAATTTAATATATTTCTTTCCTTTAGCAAGCTTAAAAATTCTTTATGTTTAGTTTCAGATCATTAGGGAGCTGTTTTTGATAAGCAGTTTTGGATTTCTTAATTTCTGTTAACCAAATTCATGCTTTCTTAGTTCTTTACATTATTACAGTCTACATATATTTCCCAATTTATACTTCTGAAAGTTATGGCATTTACCCTTAATTTTCTTCTTTGTCTTTAGTGAGCCAGATATGTTTGGTATTCCTGTTTATTGGTTTTCTCTTTTGAGGATTGATTATCTTGAACTACAAGGCTTATTTTATAAAATTTCACAAACATATCTTAATCAGCTTTCTGAAAATTTTGAAATAAAATTTTGTTTATTGTTATCTCAACATGTAGTAAAACATCAAATCTGATTATGCAGTGATCACTTTTCTCCAAATGTGCTTTGCCTCGCTTAAAATCTGGTAATCATATCCTCATTAGTGGTTAAGAATAAATCTATAATTACATTCTTCTTGTTTGGCTCTCTGACCATTTGGTGTAGAAAATTATACTGAATAACTTCAAAAAAATCTCTCTCCCTCTCTGAACATTCTTGTATGTGTAATCCAATAACTTCACATTTTCATACATTTAACTAATGAGCAGTGCAACAGATCTCATTTGCTAACACAACTAAAGCCTCTATTTCTATCTATAATTATCAAGTTTTAACAGAAGAAAAATAGTTTATTAGTAGTATCAACTTACAAATTTTTACATGTGATATTATTATTCTGGATTAAATCCAGATTATTCTTATACAAAGTATCTAAGATTCCCTCACTCTTAACCAAACTTAGATAGTCTGTAATGAAGTAATTTTGAGCTTCTCCAGTACTTTTTATCATTCAAAAGCTTTTGTATGAATTAGTATTGATAAATACAGATATATTACTTTAAATTTAGTTAAGTTTTGGTAAATATTACAGTTCTTTTTTTTTCAGGGGTATTGTAGGATTTAGTCGAGATAGAACAAAGAGGATGGCTGCAATTGCATCTCACCTTGCTGTGTCTGATTATGATTTTGTATTCCTTCAAGAAGTAAGTGGAGTGTCTGTAATTTTTCAATAATATGTAATATCCTTCTATTTCACCAATTTTCTATGTAAATAATTATTAGATAATTATGTTGAATTAAAATGAAGTTGTAATACGTACAAGCCCTCAGATCTCTTAAACTTGAAGCTAAATTTTCCTTATACATGATATTTTTTTACATTAATTATTTTCCAATAAATCAATGAAATCAGATGTAATATAAAATCTGAATGCACTGATCAACAATTTTAAATATGGAAAAGCATAGTTGACTGAGTCACTGATCTCCATCTTAGAAGTTCCAAATTGTAATAAATACAATAATCATGATATGACAATAATGTTCCTGGAGAAATTTTCATTATTACCAATCATAGTGACAATTAAATGTTTCACAAATGTGCAAGACTTTTGGATTCTTTTTAATTAAAACTACAAAGTTTAAATTTTCTGTTACAATTAGCATGATTATAAAATTACATTAATATAAAAAAGTTTTAAATCAGTTTTTAAATTTTAATTATTCTAAATATAATAAAAATTAACATAGAAAAATATCATGTTTAAGGAAAATATGAAATTCTTCAAGTTTAAAAGATCTAAGAACTTGTATGTATTACAACTTCATTTTAATTCAACATAATTATATAATAATTTTTGGATAGAAGACAGCATGATGTTCAAGCAGCTAATGTTAAAAGTAAGTCTGTTTTCTTGAGGTGTTATATGTAATAGGTTTTCAATATGCAAGAATCAAAAGGCACAAAACTGCTTTAAATGTATTTGATTTAGTATTGTTAACTAATGATCCATTGACCTATTGTGCATGTAGAGTCACAAGAGACAAAATGACTATATGTAGATGCCAAGTTTTACAGTATGGTTGCTTGATTAAGTTCCGGGTTTTTTATTCAAGTTTTAATTACTGGAGAACTTTCACGTTACTAAAGTATACTCATCATGTAAATAATTTCTCTCCATATTTTTAGTATTATGATGTTTAGCCAAAGCACTGATAGCAATTTGCTCCTTACAAATATTCATGTAAATTAGGTGACATTCCACATAATTCAACTAACAACGGGACCCTTTGGTTTAATTTATATTTGTTCTTTTTTTTCGTTAAATACAATTGGAGAATAATGAAGCTTTAAGCTAATCCTATTTTTTAACTTGAAATGTTTATTATCATGATTCATAACAAAGGTATAAAACTGAAAGGATAATATTTGTAGAAAAAATTCCATATCTTAATTCATAAGTTAATTGAAAAGATAATATATTTTTTGTATTGCATTGCTTATTTATTTATAAACCATCAGAAATTTGTAGGTTGAAGTAAGATTCAAATTATCTGATGGAATATTCTAGTTCTCCAGAAACATGAGATGCTTGAAGTAGATTACATTTTCATCAAATATTTTGTGACAGTTTTTTCCAAATTTTATTATGGCTTGCTTATTAATATCAGAAAGTATTGAAATATCAACTTATAAGTATCCTTGGAAATTTCTGCACATAAGCTGAAATGACTTACAATCTGCAATTGTTACATAAGTTTTTAAGCTTTTAATTAGGATTAGGATTCAGAATTATTCATTGTTATTATGTCCTGTAGTGCAATACAGGTCACACCCATAAGTCTCAGCTGTTGGGCATATCCTAATTATTTTGTGTCTGGAACACTATACAGCTGTGTTAGTTTTAGTATTTATGGATGTAATCCTAAAATTTTGTATCCTATTTCTTTAGCTACTTTATTACATGTGTTGATGAAATCCATAGTTGCTGATGTGGACTGCCATCAAATATGCATATTTTCAATATATTCTTTGCTGTCCTTGGTGTTTCTGTACACTAGAAATTTACATAGCTTTGCAAAAGATAGTATCAACACGGTTGTTTTTTGCTTTCCAGGCTGTTCTATTGATCAGTAGGTTTAAAGTTTACTCTAGAATTAGAGCTAGGCAATTTAATAAATTATCTGTAAGCAGCAAGTAATAAACTAATAATGAAATCATCTAACCAAAGTTACTGTTAAATTGATTTATCAAAATTAATATTTCTGGTTATTACTGTTTTTAATTATTTCAACAGTCAATTGTTCAAAATTATGATTTAATCTATTCTCACAAAAACAATCAGTTAGGGATTCCAGTTATTACTATTTTCCATTATTCCAACTATTCAAGTTATTGTAATATTGCAGTTGTTTTTTTATTATTAAGTGCAAAACTACATAATGGGTTATAGGTGATCTGCTAAGTTTTTTTTTAACTTCAATTTTGTTCAGTCTTTATGATTTGGAGAAAAGGGGGCTCATGGTTTGTCACATAACTTGTTCACCCTGGTTTTTTTATGGCAAAGCTGCTAACACCTGTTGTCCAGTAATTATGTGAACAAAGTCTTGTTCAACAGAAAAGGTTTGTTGTTGATGGCAACTGTTACTTGAACATAAAGAAAGGTAATTATAGTGATTAGATAATCTCTTTAAAGCAGCTCTTTAACTCTTCAATACACAGGTGTGCCAATTTGATGTACATGTTATATGGTTTGTTTTATTGCATTGTAACTTTGAAACTTGAGATAAATGTCAAGTAGCTTTCATGAGTAGTCCAAAATAAAAAATATTTTTATGTGTGATATTTGTATTAATTTACTGTTTTGAAAATAAAAAAAAATCCTTGTGATCTCAGAAAGTAAATAATAGTTTATTTATATGGTAAGTATTTGTTAAGCTAAATGTTTTTTGCACTAAAGTTATTTATTGCTTCATGACTGGCCATTGTTGTTAACAAATGGGTCCTGAATGCAAAAAGATTGAGAACCACTGTTTTAATATATGTAATATGTAGAACTGGATGATTAGTGCAATTTGATTATTGATTAATCATCAGGCTCATTAATCAGTTATTGTTGGAATAATTTGAAATAATAATAATTGAAAACAAACACTTATTTTGATTAGTTGATTATTTAGAGAAATCATGATGTTAATGTTTTGATTAGTTTGATATTTATAATTATTGAAATTAGTAATAATCAGAAACACTTATTTTGATCAGCTGATTGTATTCATGACATTAATCCATTTAATTGTGATTTTAATTATTTTATGTGACACTAATGGATGTAGTTGATATTCAAAGGTAATCAATTATATTAATTAATTGCATCAGTCACACATCTCCAGCAAAATGTTTGAAACTTTTATATTTATTTACATATATGCATATATGTTATTTCTTTTCAGTGATTTTCTTTGCCCATTCAAGCAGTTCATTAAGCTGATAAGGTTTTATGTAAACATGGCCTAAGAAACAGTGGCCTTGATGACAAAATGAATTTGATATGGTTGAGTGCAAAATGATCTAACTAAACCTAGCAATCCCCTTATCTTGTTTCAAGAAAAACATTTGTTTTGATTAAGTTATGGAGTACTTTTTGTTACCTACAAGTGATATTAAGAAAAACAGTTCTTTTAAGCACAAATTAAGTAAAATACACTAACTAAAATCAGTTTACAAAATATATGGTTAATTATCTGACAAGTTTTAACACACCATGTAAATCATCAGTATACCCTTTAAAATGTTTTCTACTTTATTTATACTTAAAACAATTGTTTGTCTTAAAAGCATTTATTTTCCTGTAATAGTATATAAAATGATAAAGCAACTTTTTCCAGTCTTTAAAACAAAAATTAAGAATGTAATTATGACAGAAATCTTCTACCAACATGTCATTAAGCTAAGTATTTATCAATTTGTTTCAATCTCTACACAAGTTTTCACATAACTGAAACAAAAACAGTAAAAGATTCTTCATTATATGATTAAACTACTAGCTTATTATTTGTGAAAGCTTAGATATAGGCAGTTACGTCACACCATGGCAACAGACGTTGAGGTATAGTGATTGGCTAAAACCTATAAAACTGTACTTGTATTGAAGTTGCAAGGTTCAATTAACATTATTTTATTTAAAACTATACTGACTTTCCTCTTGGGGGCTATGAATCCTGTAGTTGTATGCTCAGAAACAAATTTAGGTCACTTACAAACAGAAAATCAAAATTTGCAATTATTAAAACTTTATGTATAAAATTAATTAAGCAGAAATTTTTTGTTAAATAAATTTCAACTTGGAAATATTTTTAAAAAAATGTGTGAAAAAATGACATTTTATTTTCTATAGAAATTTTCTGTGATACAGTTTTGCCCTAGGGAAATGGGTGCACTGGATCATGTGTTGAGCATTGTCTATACATTGTTAAGGATTCTGCAGAGTTGAACTATTTATTTTGCCCATTCTTCAGAGCAAGTAAAGGCTGCTTCCATGGAAGAATAAAGTGCAAACTTATGGCTAGGCAACATGAAACATTAGTCAAAGAGAACATTGTCCTATGAAACTATTGTCATGATTCCTGTGGGAGCCACATATAAGAATGCTTACTTATCATTTGTATAGGTATCATGCACAGTGTTTTCATTAACTGATAAATACTGGTCTTAGATTATTTCAAAAACTAGGTGAACACCAGAGATGGAAGCCATTAGTCAGTTTGACTGGTTGCAAAACCTCTGTGAGGGGCAGCTATCGTAGTACATATGTTATTAAATCTGTCTTTATTTCAAAAAGAAATATTTAAAAAATTCTGAATCTTAATATTTCTTTGTCATATGGCATGTCTGAGCTCTATTTCTGTAGTTCAGAATTTTCAAACATAAAAAATTGTCTGCTTTGAGTTTTTAACCAATTAGAAATATATATACTATACATAATTACAAACAAGAATTTGAACTTCCTATGTTCTTTATTTGCTGAGATATCAATAATAATAATTAGGCAAACAATGATTTATAAGCATAAGGAATCATTTTATTGATTTTGGAATGTACTTCATGTTTCAACAGAACATCTGTCTTCTTCAGGTATGATCAGTACTAAGCAATGCCATCTTTATTGTTTACATTATATATTGTTACAAAGACAAAAGACAT